ATATGCTGATGATGAGTTCAAGCAAACTCCATCACACTCATTCATCATTACTCCAGCAAATGTTCTGCTTTGGTGCTGCAATTTCTCGCTTCTTCCCTCCGTATTTCATTGTTTTTATATGAAGCTTTATCATTTTCAATTTATGCTCATTTCTGTTTGTTTTGTATATTTTTGAATGCTTCCCGAAAAGAAAGCTTGGAACTTATTATCTGAAATTTAAATTGTCATTGTTATTATCAACAACACTGTGATTCATTGCAATTGCTGATTTCTTAATTATGCCTATAATTTTCTTCTTACAATTTCAAGTTTTTCAGTGATGCTTCCAATAGACAGAATAAGAATTAGAATGAGAATATTTGTTTTCCTAAATGAGGAAGTTTGCTGAAATTAAGTGTGGAATGGAAGCATTTAAAATTTATTAATATTAAATGGGAAAATGAACATTGAAAGTACAATTTTAAGTTAGCTCTAAGTGCAAAGTTTTTTAATGGATGGGAACTGATTAATATAACTGTCCAGTTAGTCTAAATAATTATCATTCGCATAGTATGATTTTTTTTCTTAATTAAGTCATCAAAATTTTAATAGTGTGATTAGATTTCAAATACGAAATAGTTGACTTTTTCTTGAATGTTTTTGATCATCCTTTGTCAAGTTTAATTAGTGGAAAATTAGTCCACTGTGTTTGGCATAATTTATCCTGGCGATATCCTAATAATCTGTGTACAATTATATTATTCGTGTGCCGATCAAGCAGTTATTTCAAATCTGAAATGCGAAAACTTTCAGATGCGAACTATTCATTACTTATTATTGATTTACTGGCTTCTCTTATTTCCCTCTTTGATAATTGTCAGTGCTGTTATAGACGCTTCGTGGTGGTTAGTTCCAATTTTCATTCTGAAGCCATTATTTTCTGAATTCACTTCAAAATTTAAAGGTGCAATAAATTTATAAAACTTCATGGAAATAAGTTAATAACTAGGAGAACTTAGGCTTAACGCTTTATAATTTGTAATGATATTTTCACATTCGCACTCAGTAGAGCAGTTGCCACCCAAAAAAGTGGAAATTATGCTAGTCTAAAAAATTGTTGCACAATGAAAATAACTTGTATGTGAATGTTGAACTGGTCACCGCAAGTCTGACCAGTTAGTAAGCTGTAGTGGTTGGCGACCGATATGATTGACATCATCAACTTATTGCTTAATCTGCGTGCAAGTGTGCCATCAACGGCGGACACATTGCTTGAACATGAACGATGCAGCCGTTCATTTATTTTTATGCTCCTTTGAAATTCATTTGTTTTTAAAGCGATTTTAATAATACTACGAAATTGGAAATCTTAATCGAAGAATTTCTACTAATTTGAATTCTTGCTGCCATAGATTTATTTACTAAAAGAAAAAACTACGTGTTTTGTGTTCTAATTTAAAAATTGCAAACAATCTTAAAAAGGTTTTGCTTGAAAGCAGAAGATTTTCTTTATGTTAATTATAGGTCTTCAGTTGCCCAACTAAGCACAGCAAATTTGCTAGCTGGAAGTAATGCTCGACCAACTTGCTTAACCTTGCAAGGCCTATCGCCAGGACAAGCTCGTATATGCGAATTGTTTCGAGATCACATGCCTGCTGTGGGTGCTGGTGCTAAAGCTGCAATTTCCGTTAGTTTTTATGTTTGTCACTTTCTTCCTTTTTACAACACTTTTGAATTTCAGCAGAAAAAAACTGAAACTGTTAATATGAAGAAAACTAATCAAAACACTAGACCTAAAATTAATTTTCATGAGCATTTCATCTCATTATCATTTCCCAAGTAGTATCCCAAAACATTGGTGAGTGATAGTGTGATCGAAGAAAAATAAATTATACTTGAAACTGTAAATTTTTTGCTAAAAAATGTTCTGTTGCATAATTGGCCACAATTGGATTAAGGTCTTAAGCCAATATTAAAATGTTATTGTAGGGTCTCGCATTTTTTCGGAAACATATAAACACACTGTTAATAAGTAAGTATCACAATTTTAACTGATTTTTCTGGTTTTAATAGGCTTGATAATAATATTTTTAATTTTTAATGCTTATAATTTATGAGGTTTAATCAACATGGATTATCTGCTATGAGAGTAATCGGGATGGATATTGCAACAGTTGAAATATTGAAACGATATAAAATCAGTCAGTGGACTCAGTCTCTTTTAAAATGAAGTGACTCCGAAAAAAACTTTGCAACACACATTTATAGTTATCATTTATTCATCATTAATGATTATTTAGTCGCCTCATTAAGGGCAGATATAATTTATTGGTTTTGCGGTGTTCTTTGATAAATGAAAAAAAAAATGAGAAAGGAAATGAGGAGAGAAAAACAGAGGAGGCAGCAATAGGAGGGGAGGAATGAATGATATATCAGTTTGATGATATATCTATATAATATATATA